CTGAATACCCTAGCCAAAAAAGGGGCTAACCTTTTATATATAGTAGGATTCTATATAACCAAAAAGGTTAAAGGTTAAACCTACCCAGTCCCTAAGACAGGGTCTATATTTCAGGGTTTCGGTTTTCGGGTGAGTACGAGGCCAAAGCCGCGGCTGCAAGGGCACTCGCCAGGAATGTCTGTCGGAATCTTGTGTCGGAAAGTGCGGACTAGGCCGTGTTCTCTACCATGTGATGCGGTAACTCTCAGGACACCAGGAACCGGCGACAAAGCCACAAATCTCCCTCAAGCCCCCGCCTCACCTGAAGAAAGTAGCCCTAAACCCTATATAAACGCTAAGCCCTAAACCCTGAACCCTAAGCCCTAAACCTTTCTCCCCCCACCTTCAATTCAAGAGGTCACGCCCTAAGCCCATGTGATCACCTGTGTACTGCAGGGACATGGTCTTTTGCCGACTTGCGTACGGCTGCGGGGCTGCGGGCTTTCGGGAACGCAGGGGGCTTACTTGGAGGTCCATGGGAAGTTGCAAGTCGGGTTATGGTTCTGGCAAGTAGACATATAAACACCCTGCACCCTAAACCCTAAACCCTAAACCCCAAACCCTAAACCCTAAACCCTGGACCCTCTTTAGGGTGCTTAAAACCTTACCTAGAAGCACCGTAGGTTTTGCAGGTCGTTGGCCTGAGTGTGGCAGATGTTGATTTGGGGCGAAAGCAGCGCAAGTGCTGTGGAGGAGGTGTTGGGTCTGGACCCTAAACCCTAAACCGCAAGGGTTTACAGGGTGCCAGAGACATGGCGGACACTGGAGCCCAAAAAGCTGGGCTGGCTGGGTAGGTTAGGCTGTATCCGGGTTTAAGGTTTAGGGTTTGGGGTTTGGGGTTTGGGGTTTAGATCTACTCATCATGAAGGTAGAGATCACGGTTTAGCAAGGTTATATACGCTACTTCTTTGTTGTCCAGGAACCTGGGGGAATTAAAGGTTAACCCTTGGGATGTTATTGGGATTAGAACACCCAAAAAAGTTAAACGGTTACCTACTCTACTACTAAGACTTTGGGTTACTTGACGCACTGTCAGTTCATCCTTATCAGTGAGCACGACTTGGCCACTAAGGCGCATGGGAGACACCGGCTTCATCAATTGCTGCTGCTTTCATGAAGGTTTAGGGTTTAGGGTTTGGGGTTCAGGGTTTAGGGTATAGGATGAAAGGTGGCAATGAATGGGCGAGACGAGGCCCTGTTTAAAACCCTGGTATTTAGTAGGGGAACCCATGGTTTGAGAACCCATGGTTTGCGGCCGGAGCTGGCCCTTCTTGGCAAGCACCTTTGTGGCCAATTGTACCCTAAAAAGGGTATACTTGGTCCATAGTGATAAGGGTTTAGGGTTTAGGGTTTAGGGTTTCGGGTTTCGGGTTTAGGGTTTTGGTCCGTATCCCTTGATAGGGACATAACTCACCATGTGAGGTAAACCCTAAGCACCCTAAACCCTCAACACCCAAAACTTGCCCTACACCCTAAACGCCCTAAACGCCCTAAAGACCCTAAACACCCTAAACCCTAAACACCCTAAACACCTTAAACACCCTAAAGACCCTAAAGACCCTAAACGCCCTAAACGCCCTAAACGCCCTAAACGCCCCAACCCTCAGGAGCTTTCTTTGTTCTTCGGCGACGCATCTCCTTCCCCTTCATCAGGGCGGAAGATATAATTGGCGTGGAGGTCTGAGTCCGCCTTTTTTCACGGGTTTAGGGTTTAGGGTTTAGGGTTTGGGGTTCAGGGTTCAGGGTCTAGGGAGGGCATTTAGGCAGGATGCTTGTCCCCTTTGCAGGTAGGTATGTTCATACAGGTAAGACCCTTATAATATAATCTAGGGTTTAGGGTTTAGGGTTTAGGGCTTAGGGTTTAGGGTTTAGGGCTTAGGGTTTAGGGTTTACCCATAACATTCAAGGGTCACAGTGGGCCATCCCTGCCAGGCTTGTTTCATAGAGAACGCTGCTCGGAGAACAGTGGCAGCAACGTAGCAGGGTAATGGAGATCGACCATATACTTGACTGCACTCAGGAGGGTAGCTACGAATTAAACTTTCAGCTTCCTTACTAAGAAACCCAATAAACCCAACAAGGCTAAGGATCTGAAGTTACGGTAAAGTACCACAAAGTATAGGTCGAGAAATAACAGGTCCGCGGGGTAAAAATAACAGGTCCGTGGGGTAAAACATGACGAGCAGCAGGACTGAAGCAACTGGAACAACAGCAGGAAGACATGGGAAGCCGCCATAGAAACAACATTGGAAATGACTAGGGAAGTCACCGGAACCTACATAGGACACAAGAGAAGCGCAGGACATCAAAGTTCCCTGAATGCAGGTTTGCCTGGTGACTATAACTGCATCTCTCTGAGCTGGCTTGCAAAGCACCCTTTGATGAGTATATCAGCGGTTATGGCGTTAGATACCCCTGCGCGTGAAACTCCAGGCAAGCCAACTCCAAACCCAGCGCCCTCAAGTTTCAACCTCAAACCCCTAACAAACTCCATAAGCTCCATAGGGTTTAGGGTTTAGGGTTTAGGGTTTAGGGTTTAGGGCATAGACCATGTACCCCGCAGCATATAATCCCTAAAACCAAAAAGCCCTCAAAAGCCCTAAGAGCCCTGGGCAGAAGCCCCCCTGACCCCCGCAGCCTCGGAGAAGCGCGAAGGAACCCAGACCTCACCGACAAAAAGCAACTACTCCAGGTAAACCACCCAAAAAACCCCAAACCCTGAATCCTAAACTCTAAACCCTAAACCTTCGTACAAGAACTGGCCCTCAGCCACCTTGCCTTTCGGGGCCAGGTGTGGCGTTTAGGGCTTTGGGTGAGCCGCAGTATTCAGGGGTGTCGGCTAGACCCAGGAGTAACCTCTAGGAAGGATAAAGGGCGCCCTTTTTGGTTTTAAGGGGGTTATGAGGGAAACCACACCCAGAAAAAAAGGGAATAAGGGCCCACTCTGGGTCCTAGTGTCAGTGCTTCAGGGTCTTAAGGTTTTGGGTTTAGAGTTTACGGTTTAGGGTTTTAGGGTTTAGAGTAGAGGGTTTCGGGTGAATGGGGCATTCGGAAAGTTTCGGGGCTTCCGGGTTGAAGTGTTGAATTCAGAAAACGCTTTGAAACTCGTACCAAAACCCCGAACTCCCACATCTAAACATGCCAGACCACCTCTACACCCCAACCACTTCTCCGCACCGCACAGCCCCCCTAAGGGTTTAGTCATATATGTATATATGCATATACATATATATATACATATATGTTTTAATTTGTTTATACGTGTTGTATACATAAGTATGTGTATAGTATATAGTATATCATACATCATATACCACATATCACAGATCATATCATATATATATATATATACTGTATGGGCATACGTGTATATAATATATAATATATAGTAGTAGCTTAGAGGGTCCCAGTTGTACAACATGCAAGTACATCGACACTCTGGGCTAAACCCGAAGCCCTTACACCCCGAAATGCCAATTAGCGGCACATGGCCCGTTTAAACCCAAGGCCCAAAACCTAAAACCCAAAACCCTGAACCCTAACCCTAACCCTGAACCCTGAAGCCTAAACCCTGAACCCTGAACCCCAAACCCAAAACCCTAAACCCTTACTCCGAGGGCGAGGCAAACAAGGGGAGCTTGCTTTTCGGCAAGGCCTCTGGGGTCGGCTGCATGCAAACCCAGGAACTATATCATCATACGGGCAGGGTTTAGGGGGTAGGGGCTACGTAGGGTTTAGGGTTTAGGGTTTAGGGTTTAGGGTTTAGGGTTTAGGGTTTAGGGTGTAGGGTTTACTGTTTGTAAGGGCACCTTGAACCAAAACAAAAGGGAAAAGGGCACAGCGGCACGAACTGGGCTGCCCAGGCTGTCAGTTCAGCGGATGCAGGGTTTTAGGGGTTTGTGTAGGGCAGGGTTTAAGGGGTTTCGTTCTAGGTCTTAGAGGGTTGCTAGGGCTGTAGCTTTAGGGGGCTAAGAGGGTTGAGGGGTTTCAGAACTTTGGGGGTTTCAGGGTTGAGGGGATTAGGGGCTTAAGGGTTCAAGGGCACGCTGAAGACGTTGCTGAACTATCAAGGTGGACTGATCCAACTCGAGGCACACCAGAAATAATCCCTGAAGTCCCCCCAGCAAACTGCAGGAGCACCAAAAGGCAACCCTGAAACAGTATGGAGGTTTCCGAAATTAGGTATACCGTACTGGGGTCCTTATGATAAGGGAATCCTACTATTTGGGGTCTGTTTTAGGGGGTGCCCTATTTGCGTATACAACTCTCTGCAGGCTCTCAGATCTACAACAAAAACACTAAAGCCCTCAACCAAACCCTGCAGGAAAAACCCTGAACCCGAAAACCCTGAACCCTAAACCCGGAACCCTAAACCCTCCCTACGGCCCGTCAGCCTAAACCCTAAACCCCAAACCCCAAACCCCAAACTCTAAACCCTAAACCCTAAACCCTAAACCCCAGGCTCTAGAGGAACATCCCGACATCTTCTCACGCTCTTTGCCTCCTGTAGGTCCTGAAGCTCGCAGACGACCTGGCACTTCGCACGACGGTGAGTTGGGGGTTTTCGAAAAAAGGGTACGTTTGGGTTTAGGGTTTAGGGTTTAGGGTTTAGGGTTTAGGGTTTAGGGTTTAGGGTTTAGGGTTTAGGGTTTAGGGTTTAGGGTTTAGGGTTTAGGGTTTAGGGTTTAGGGTTTAGGGTTTCGGGTTTCGGGTTTCGGGTTTCGGGTTTCGGGTTTAGGGTTTAGGGTTTAGGGTTTAGGGTTTAAGGTTTGGGGTTTGGGGTTTGGGGTTTGGAGTGTAGGGTTTCTGGCAACGGGTTTATAGTCCAGGGTCTAGGGTTGTAGAGGATTCCCGTGCTAAGGATAAGACTATTTCGGGGTATATTGGGGGGCAGCCTAGGCTTAGGAATTTGGCCTTAAGGCTAGCCTGAGGCCTTAAAACGGGCTATTGAAATCACAACTCTAATGGACAGTGTACATTTTGTTTGATGCCTTGGGCTTGCTGACCCGAAGTAGCCGGACGACATCGAGCGACATCAATAGCAAAACATCGCCCTGCAAAGCCCTGTGCACTGGAGTCTGTACAGTCAACTCCAAAAAGTCGGAACATCCTTGTCCCCATACCAAAGGCATCCTAAAGGGAATCCCAGCTCCAATCATCCGTGAACCCTAAACCCTAAACCCTAAACCCTAATCAGTAAACCATATTCCTCTGGAGTCTGCGGTTATGGAAAGAAGCTGAGATTCTTGGCCAAGGAAATCTTATTGACGTGGGGTGCCCCCCCGTGCATAGTTGCTGTCGACCCCCCGTACATGGTCAGTTCTCGAGGTTGTCGACCCTGTTGCTGTACACTAAACCCTAAACCCTAAACCATAAATCCTAAATCCTAAACCCTAAACCCTAAACCCTAAGGTGCAGGAAGCAACCCATGGATCCTGCTCGAAACCTGTCCGCCAAGTGTCCCTTTATGGGGGAATTTCGAGTGTCACGGCTTGGAAGCCCTGCACCAAACACAAACCATTTGGGGGTTTACAAATATAGGGGACCCCAAGAATATGGACCCCCAATTAGTAGGATCCCCGTATGAATAAGGACCCCAATAAGGTACCCCCCCCCCCCCAGTATCGTAAACCCCATGTGAAAAATCAAAGTCGCCCACAGATATGGGGGCTTCGCAAACCCTAAACCTTAAACCCTAAACCCTAAACCCTAAACCCTAAATATCAGATCGGAGTGGAAGTTTAAGGTCCATGACACGGACCTTGCCCATGGTGTGGACCATCACAAGCTGGCGGAACGCATTGCAATCCTGGCTCACGTGACAGACATAGGCCTAAACCCTAAATCCCTAATCCCTAAACCCCCTAAACCCTAAACTCTAAACCTTAGAAAGCCCTTGAAGACGTGGCTGGCTCTGTAAACTGAAAACCCTCTGCAAAATGTTTCTCCCCCGTTCACATTCTAGTCGTTCACAGCGGGCCTTGTTGCACCGTGCACACTGTGTTCATCCAGATGCGACTAGCAAGCTGCAATGCTACAAGTAAAAAAGGGCAAAGTAAGTATTGGGTCCACCTCCCAGATATAAGCTACGGGAGGTAGGTTACTCTGGTAAAAACTGCTCGCCACAAATGACATCCCCACGTCGGCCTTCTCGCTGGATGGGTCCATGTGCTGCATGCCACGGGCCTGTGAAATGCTAAAGTTGCTGGAACCCTAAACCCCAAACCCCAAACCCTAAACCCCAAACCCTATTGGGGCCTTTAGGAGTTTGGGGGTTAGAGGGGTTGAGGGGCTAAAGATTTGTCAATCACAAGCCCAGACCCCCTAACCTGGAGCAACCTAGACACCTTAGAGCAGGGAACATCCCTTCGTGTGAGTCTATCCCTGCATTCCTGGGTGGTGAAGAGTTCTCTAGTCCCCTCCTTCGACTGCTTTGCCTAAAGGATACGTTTTAGAGTTTAGGGTTGAGGGGTTTTGCGTTTGAGCGCCGTGAGCCGGTGTCTAAGCAGGGAGCGCTGGAGAATCCCCTCTGCAATCTTCGGCCGTTGAAGTGACACTTCTAACAGGCTCCGCCTGAGTGAAACAATTCGCCTTGGGGCGTTTGCAGTTGCACACTGCCCAGAAGTTGAAGCTCAACTGAGAAAGATGGGCGGGGGTAGAGAATCGACAGCTGACATGAAACGCTGGATCCATCAAGAACTCTACCAGACTCTACCACGAGCCCATGGCCCGACACAAAGGCCTACAAAACCACTAATTGCTTAAGAACCCCAAAAAATAAAAAGAATATTTTGTATTCTTCCTTAGTAAAGGCAATATAGGGATTCTTTGATTTGTTTGTTTATGTTTTTAAATTCTTTTGGGGTTCTTAAGCAAACAGTACCAAAAAGAGGCGGCGAACCTGCCAAAAGTCGACCGTCTTCTGGAGCAGGATCGAGTGGCAAGCAATGCAAATGAAGTTCATGCCTGCAATGAATTTCCGGATGAGCAAAGGCTTGGAACTGATATGTATATGTATATAGCAGAATATCATAAACACATAAAAAACATATATATATATATGTATATACACACATGTAAATAGTTTGTTTGTGTGTGTGTGTGTTATCCCAAGGGCCTACCTAGTTGAATGCCCGTCGGGAGGCTGGGGATTCGAGATGGCAGCGTCGAGTGCAGTGTATATGAAGTTAGAGACATGCAGGCTTTCTTACCCTAAACCCTAAACCCTAAACCCTAAACCCTAAACCGCCCAACGCACACACACCACCACCACCACCACGTCCCTCTCGCCTGAGATAAAATCCCACATGGCACGGCCGCCGCCAGTCCTGAACAGAGACGAAATTATCATAAAAGCCTTCTGGGTGTGGGAGGCATCGCATCGTCTTGTCAACCACCGAACTACTCCTCATCCGAAGGCCTCCTTTCCGACACTGCAGCCCTTACCCTAAACCAGAGAGCCTAAGCCCTGTCAGGCTTCGGCTTCTTGTGTACAGTTCCCCGAGCCCTCTACACCCTTGAGGACCTTCCCTTCCCGCCCTCCCAGAGAGAAAGGGCTGGAGATACGAATTTGAGGAGAAACCCGAAACCCGAAACCCTAAACCCTCAACCCTACGTAAACCCTAAACCGCAGCTCTCGGACACCCCCTGAGCATGGAGCTTCGGCTCGCTTGCCAAAGAGTCAATGTAGCCCACCTGGGTCTCGCAGGATTGGGGGGGCTGGAGGTCCCGGCAGAGGGACCCCAGAGTCATATCAGGGTTTAGGGTTTAGGGTTTAGGGTTTAAGGGTTTAGGGTTTATATGATCATAAGGGACCCTAGGACCCCCAAATAGTAGGATCCCCTGTTTAAGAAGGACCCCAAACAAAATACCCCTATTTCCATAAAAACCCCCATATTCCGGGCGCAAGAAGTGAAGAGCAGAGGCACCTTCGCAGTCCCACAGCCACAAGACAGAAGCTTGCGGTTTTTTCACAATTCCAGCTCCGTTGTGGCCTTCTTGGGTCTTCTTTCTGACGGAATACCGAACTCTCTCCAAATGGGGATTTCCGATAGTAGGGGGGTGCCTTATTTGGGTTCCTTCTTGTAAGGGAATCCTACTATTTGGGGGACTGTTTTCGGGGCCCTAAACCCTAAACCCTAAACCCTAAACCCTAAACCCTAAACCCTAAACCCGAAACCCTAAACACTAAACCCTAAACCCTAAGGGGGTTCCCCAGTTTCGTAAACCTCCAAATGGGCGTGGTTGGCAGCTGCAGCCCGCAAGCCTGAGCCCCTACCCTGCTGGGGACTAAAAAGGGGGTTTAGGGTTTAGGGTTTAGGGTTTAGGGTATAGGGTTTAGGGTTTAAGGTTTAGGGTACCCTTTTTGGGGGGTCCCTTTATAAGGGGGCTCTATTCTATTTGGCGTCTGAAAGGGGCACCCCCCTATTTTGGGAAGTACCCAAATGAAGCCTCGGGTCAGCCCGAGAAAATCATCCCCAACACTGAAAAACAACACACACACACACAAACACCCCGGGTTTAGGGTTTAGGGTTTAGGGTTTAGGGTTTAGGGTTTAGGGTTTAGGGTTTAGGGTTTAGGGTTTAGGGTTTAGGGTTTAGGGTTTAGGGTTTAGGGTTTAGGGTTCACAAACAACGCCCGAAGGGGCTAATGGGGATCCAGCGGTTGTGGTGCCCAGGACCTCTTCAGAGGTACCTGCCACAGCTGTCTCCGACCCCCAGCTTGCCCCTCCCCCCCCAAAACCACGGCTCTGTGGCAATCTCTTTAACAAGTGCAGCACGTTGGCTTCTCTTTGTCTAGCTCTATACTACCCCACCCCAGGCTCCCCCAGTAGTTAAGGCTATTTAGGGATAATTAAGCGCAAACAAGGTTCTTTAAGGGGGAACCTAGGGGTATGGGCATGAGGGGGATGCTCTTGTTGAATGTGGCTTCGGCTTCAGGCTCAAGCCGATTCGCTTTGGGCCAGAATGCTTGGTCCGAGATCTGCGGAGGGCCTAGTTCAACCTTCTGAACCATAAGTAGTTCCTTTTTGGGTCAGTATAGGGGATTCTAGTATGCTACCCCAACAAGGCACTACGTGGGAGCCGTTGGGTAAGCCCCAAACAAGCCCTGACACACCCCAGACCCTAAACCCTAAACCCTAAACCCTAAACCCTAAACCCTAAACCCTAAACCCTAACCCCAAACCCCAAACCCTAAATCCTAAACCTTAAGCCCCAAACCCTAAAGACCCCAAAAATTCTCTGCGCGCACCGGGGTAGTACACGTTGAGGTTGAGGTTGCTGGAGCCTGCAGGGTTTAGGGTTTAGGGTTTAGGGTTTAGGGTTTAGGGCTTAGGGTTTAGGGTTTAGGGTTTGGGGTTTGGGGTTTAGGGTTCAGGTGTCGGTGCATGTACTCCGACACTGGGCCTCGCAACCTTGTGACCTCTATATCTCAACTCGCCTAGAGGGTCTAGGGTTTAGGGTTTAGGGTTTGTATTACAATGCAGGGGTACCAGACCCCAAAGAAAGGGGGAGAATAACAACAACCATGTAGCAAAGGACCCGACAAAATACTGTTACTTTCCTCTCGTACTCCCAATGGAGTTGAGAAAAAAAGGACAACTTAAACATCGTTCCACTGGGTGACCAGCGAGGCCCCTGTGTTCCCATTGGGGGAGGGGTCCTGGGCGTGTGGCCTGAAGCCTTCAGCAAACAAGCCAAGGATTTAAGCTTGAGGCTTAGCCAGAGTCACCTATAAACCCTTAGAACATGGGGAGATGTACTCAGCAATTAAGGCAGTTTCCCTTCTAGAAGGGTCGATAGGCGGCCCTGGGCAAGATTAAGGTTTAGGGTTTAGGGTTTAGGGTTTAGGGTTTGGGGTTTGGGGTTTAGGGTTTATTTGGGGTTTAGGGTTTAGGTAAGTTCGATCCAAAGATGGGCCAGACCTCTATACCCCTGATAGAGAGAGACAAAACGACACAGCATGAATACGCTTGAAAAACCTAGCAACACCATGAAAGTATGTAATGATATCATATCAATAATAAATACACATATGTCTGTATATTTAAGGGCATCTAGCAATAAATGTAATTCTATCAATTACATGATGATATACTAGACCCAAGAGGAACCCAGGAATAAACAGGGTGCCCTTTTTTGCCTTAAAGGAGCGCATAAGGGAGCCTAAACCCCAAAACTAAACCCTAAATCCTAAATCCTAAACCCTAAACCCTAAACCCTAAGCCCTAAGCCCTAAACCCTAAACCCAAGGCTTTTAAACCATCTAAACCCTTTTAAACCCTTTTACACCCTCTATACCCTTTTAAACCCTCTAAACCCTCTAAACCTCTTCAACCCTTTAAACCCTAAACCCTAAACCCTAAACCCTAAACCCTAAACTCTAAACCCTAAACCCTAAACCCAAACCCTCTGAATTCGTGGATGGGCCTTCCAAGTGCTTGGCTCGCACGATGATCTCCTTCACCAAGGCTCCGCCTCTCAATGATGCGCCGAGTCTGTCATTGCTAGGGGTTTAGGGTTTAGGGTTAGGGTTTAGGGTTTAGGGTTTAGGAGTTGAGGGGTTGAGGAGTTGAGGAGTTGAGGGGTTTTGGGGCTCTAGGATGGACCTTGACACCCTCTGAAACATGTTCCTAGATATGATCCTCTTAAACCCAATAAGGGAAAATGTAACATACCCTGAAGGCCTACCGAAGGCGTAGTTGAGGGAGTTGAGGGTTTTGGGGTTTGAATCAGGGAGATTAGGGGTTTTAGTACATAGTTGTGGGAGTGCAGGGTTTCGGGTGTGGCTACATTTGCAGACCTGCCTCCCCCACCCCCGTCTCCAAGACCTCACGGGCTTTCAAGTTTCAGCTGTGCCCAAACCCTTTCAAAATAAAGCTCTCACAAGGCACCAGGCATACACCTCTTGGCGAAAAGGATTGCCTCGGACGAAATGAAAGGGGCCTTAAATGATTAGAAGGGTTTTTGGGGGGTGATTGTAATATAATACACAGGGACCATAAGGGAACACTATTCGTACTAATTCCGTGCCCTAAACCCTAAACCCTAAACCCTAAACCCTAAACCCTAAACCCTAAACCCTAAACCCTAACCCTAAACCCTAAACCCTAAACCTAAACCCTAAACCTAAACCCTAAACCCCGAATCATACTAAATCCAGGAGGAAGCGACCGGGTGGCCAAGTCAGGCCTGGCGCTTGCAAGATTTTGAGGGGCGTTGGGTTCGAGGTTGAGGGTTTAGGGGGGGTTTGGGGGTTAGGGTTTAGGGTTTAGGGTTAGGGTTTAGGATTTAGGGTTTAGGTTTTGGTGCTGGGCGTGAGGGGGTGTCCCGGACGCTGGGCCTGAGAATTTGCCCTCCGTCGTTGTGTGCAGCACCTGCATCTCTTCGTCGAAGAGCTTCGCCTGTGGCGACGGGCTTTAATGAGCGGCTGTATAGGCCCCACCAATTAAGCCTAACCCTAAACCCTACATCCCAAACTCTAAACCCTAAACCCTAAGCCCTAAACCCTCAACCCTAAACCCTACCCTATTGGCCCTGGGAATGTAAGGACTTAGGGCAGGGTTCTTAGGCCTCCGGCTTGCTTTCAACACCTAACATGCCGCTGCACAGAGAACGACAGGGCTCATCTCTTGGGGCGGTTACTTGGGGTTTAGGGTTTAGGGTTTAGGGTTTAGGGTTTAGGGGTAAGGGTTTCCGAAATCAGGGGTACCCTGCTGGGGTCCTTATTACAAGGGAAACCTGTTTTGTTGGGGGGTCTTTTTTCGGGGTCCCTTATTTTCGGAAACCCCCACATGGTCCCATGATGTGGGCCCTTAAATGGGGGCACACTTATTATATACACCTTACGTACCCTCTACAAACCCAAGGGCCCACATTTCAGAAGCCGTTCAAGCAGGTAAGGGACCATATGAGGGGACCATGAAACTATCCTCAGACTATGTACCCTATAAACCCTATAACCCCCATACACCCTACAAACCCCTATAAACCCAATAAAAAGCTTTGAACTCTATAAACCCTATAAATCTTCCAAGAATGAAGACATGCTATGGCGAAGCAAGTGCTGTCTTTTGGCGCAGGCCAGGAACCCCAGAGACTCCAAAACCCCTTAATTAAGGAACACACCTTAAATCATGTTAGGGTTCCTATTATTATTGAAGGTATATTCTCTAATTAAGGGGTTTTGGAGTCTCTGGAGCCGTCGTCTCCAAGCTTTTTTGCCTACGTGCCACGTCCACTGACATAGCCGGCTGCCAAGAGAAACACGAGGGTTCAGGGTTTAGAGTTCAGGGTTCAAGGTTTAGGGTTCAGGGTTTAGGGTTCAGGGTGTAGGGTGAAGTTACTACAGGTTTGGGGGGCTGCATCAAGACCGAATGCCAAGGCAGCAGTGCTACAGGACGGGCGCGCTCCGGTGCGGCCCCGCATGTCGCAGCGCTCAGCCCGACCTCGGTCCACAGCCAGGACCGCAGTCTGAGGGTTTAGGGTTCAAGGTGACAAGGTGAATATAAATAAATAAATATAAATAAATAAATAAATAAATATATATATAACCCTTTAAGGGAATTGTCAGCTCAGCAGAATAGTTCAGAATATGAGAATCACTGCGAGAGAAAGGCATGAAGCGATCGTAAGCTGAGCTTGGGACGAGCTTCCTGGAACACATCCAGAACAGCCCGGAAGCTGTGCACCTGCAGCAGGATCCGGGCCTTTGGCCACCTATGGCCCCCTCAACACTAAGCGCAAAAATGTCGACCTATGCACTCAGCTCTACATCTAAACTTCAAGTCCTAGGTCTTCGAAGCATCGGCCCCATGCTAAAGGAGTAAAGGAACGACGGAAGGTAGGTGCAGCCAGGGCTACTCTTGTCCAAAATTAAGAAGTAAGATCCGCCTTTACAAAGACAACTGTGAAATGGGCTTGAATACTACTCCAAGGCTCCAGATCCCAGAGCAACCCAGGAACAACAACCGCAATCGCCTCAGTTAAGAGAGCTATCATGGAGCACGTAGATGCTTCGAGCTGCTTAGAGCCTTCAAAGGAACAAAAAGCTGAAACGTTAACCCGAAGACACGACCATAAAGGAACGACCGCCGAGTCTTACCTAGAGCACGGCAACTTCTGCACCCGAGGACCTCTACACCCGAGGACCTCTACACCCTGGGAAGGGAAGCTGTCCTAAGTGTTGGGTACATGTCACTTTGTTGACTATGGTGCCTCTTCTCCGCCCCCTCCACCCCCATGTAGTGTAGGTGAGCAAACCATAGCAAACATCCCTCAGACTCCCATCTGGACCTGCGGCGTTCGCTGCGAGTCATCTGCCCGCCTGATGGGACGCGTGGCTGACTGTGAAAACGCCGCCCGAAATCTCGAAGCCTTTGTTGCTGACTTAGGTTGGCAAGGGAAAATGCGAAAGCAAGGTAACTGGTTGCTTAAGAACCCCCATTTGTTGTTAACATCCCTGATTTACCCTTATCAGGAAGAGTCTTTTTATGTGTTTTGGGGCTTCTTAAGCACTTCGTAGGAATACGGGTACTATGTCCTCCTAGGACGTCGCGAAGCTCATACAGATATATAAGCTCATGGACTTCTCCACCCCCTATACCCATTGAAGCCGGGGGTTTATAAGGCCCAATAGCCTATCCTGGTGAGCCCCGTAGGCCACGGCAGCATGATTCATGATGTCGGGGGAGCTTGACTGGGGGGCTGAAACCCTCTCAGGATGTCTGGGTGCCCTAAGCCCTAAACCCTAGCCCTAAGCCCTAAGCCCTAAGCCCTAAGCCCTAAGCCCTAAGCCCTAAGCCCTAAGCCCTAAGCCCTAAGCCCTAAGCCCTAAGCCCTAAGCCCTAAGCCCTACGCCCTAAGCCCTAAGCCCTAAGCCCTAAGCCCTAAGCCCTAAGCCCTAAGCCCTAAGCCCTAAGCCCTAAGCCCTAAGCCCTAAGCCCTAAGCCCTAAGCCCTAAGCCCTAAGCCCTAAGCCCTAAGCCCTAAGCCCAAAGCCCTCACCTCAACCCTCAACCCTCAACCCTAAACCCTAAACCCTAAACCCTAGCCCTAAACCCTCACTGGGCTTAGGGCTTAGGCCTTTGGGAAGATCAAAAGCCCACGCCGTTGCGTCGTGCACACATTCCATGTCATCAATAGGAAGCCCATAAGGAGACTTAAGCAATTTCACTCGAGACCCTGAGCTGAGGGTTCAGGATTTAGGGTTTAGGGTTTAGGGTTTAGGGTGTAGGGCTCAGGGCTTAGGAGTCCCAGGGTTTGGAGGCCAGCCCTAAACCCTCAACCTGGAACATGATCGTCTTCAGCTCCTATGCAAAGTTGGGGCCTGAATTTAGGTCTACGATGGCCCTTAAAACCCTCTGAACAAGAATCCTGCACATGATCCTCTTAAACCCAATAAGGGAAGATAAAATGTCCCAAGGGCCTACCGAGAAGGTGAGTCAGGGTTTCACAGAGCCTATGGCGTAGGGGGGAAGAGTCAAGAATGAAAGAGACGAGATCCTGCACCGTGAAGCCAGGCCTACTGCCACCGCTTGAACCAACTACTCCCAGCATGCGCAGCAACCCGAGAAACCCAGAAAAAGTCAGTTGTTGTTTGGCAGAAGGGAACAAGCGCCTACTCCGGGCCCTAGGTAGTCATGTCTCAGCATGTGCTTGCATTCTTTCAAGCCCTGCAGTCCAACTACCAAGTGTGAGTGCGAGCTTGTCGGTCCCGGAATGTGGCCCATGGGAATCCCTTTTCAAGCGCTTTCGCATACCTCGTTGATCGTTCTAGTTCGCCCGCGCGAACATTCTAAATTCTATAGGAAAGCTAAAGATCTACAGCCCACTACCGCGCGGCAGGAGGCGCTGTGCGTAGCAATTGCCTTCCAGGTGACACAAACATTCCACACCAAAGCCAACATCTTGTAATCCGTTCGGTTTCAGATATGTGTACGTGACGAAGACTCCCGTAATCAGAAACGACACGATCAAAGCTGCGTAGGAGCTCGCCGCGGAGTGCACGTGGCATTCAACCGCCAGTGTCTCGAAATGGCTCATGACATGGATCTCGAAGTTCTTACCTAACAGGGCAGTGTGGATCAAGTCGTCCACCTCAATGAGAAAGCCAAGGGCGGTGCTGTTGAGCACAAGATCCAAGAGGTTGTTGGTCATCGCCAGAAAACTGCAGCCCACGCACATGACAACGCAGGCGATGATAATCCGTGGCAAAGCGATGCCCAGCAAGGCAAAGACTTTGTGGCCAATAGGCAGCTTTACCACATTCCTTGATCCCTGTTCCCCTAGGAAGAAAAAAGGATCATTTTTGTTCATATATATATATATTAGAAAGCCCATAACCCAAAAAGTAAAAAGGATCCCTAACACTGATCGAGAAATTCCACTTCAATGCGTCGGTTTGGGTGACGAAGTCAGGGTCCGAGTTGTCGGTTGACCGCATGTTCCAAACGACGTAGACGAAGTTGTAGATGTGGCGGAATTCGCTTATCATCAGCATGACCCATATGAAGATCATGAGGACGAGGAAGGAGATGAAAACACGACCAAGAATCGAATCAGCCTCTCCTTGATATGTGGAAACTGCGGCATAGTGAGCGATGTTGACGCCCTTTCTTCTTTGGAAAAATGCTTTGCCGCAAATATCCTGGTTCTGGTGATGAAGCCACAGGTAGTCGGTCCCGAAGATCTTTCCGCAAAAGGTCTCAAGAACGCTCGTGCACTTCTCCACGCGGTCTGCCTATACTGAACTTGGAACCGTAGAAAAGACTACAATGTTAGCCGCTTCTTAGGAGTTACAGTGCCCAAAACTTAAAAGTGATTCCCAAGTATCCCTAAACCCTAAACCCTAAACCCTAGGCCCTAAACCGTAAACCGTAAACCAAAATCTACTTCCCAAGTATCCCTAAGCTGCTGGGTGATTACCTTCAAGCATCCCACGGAGTTGACCGGAGCCCTCAAGGTTCCCACACAAGTTCCTGTCGTTGCCCACGCACACCTGGGGGTTTAGGGTTTAGGGTTTAGGGTTTAGGGTTTAGGGTTTAGGGCATATTCTCATAAGGGAGTCCTATTTTGGGGGTCCATGAAAAGGGGTCCCATGTGTTCGTAAACTCCCACCTGGATCTCTCCCTTGTAATGCTTGAAGAAATCCTGAGAGCACAAGTCGGATGCTCCCCCCCCCCCTTCTGGGGTTGAGGGTTAGGGTTTGTAAGGGTCTTTTTGAGTTAGGGTTTAGGTCTAGGGTCTAGGGTCTAGGGTTTTGGGTTTAGGGTTTCAACAAGGCAACGAGCAACAAGGCACACTAAGGTCATGATCTAGACTCAAGAGTACAGCAACCTAGGAAGCAAAAAACCGTACCCGTCTTGGTCCGAAAGGGGCTTCTGAAGGAACCTCACCCCCCACAACAAAAAGAAATAATGGGCCTACTCCGGGTCCTCACCCTAAACCCTGCCCTTAACCCTGAACCCTAAACCCTAAACCCTAAACGCTAGTAGTCCAAGGCTCCATGTCCAGTCTTGGGGAGCCATGAGAGGAGCTGCGCGAGCCCTTGCGGTTCGTCTCATCATACCTGCTTTCAGTTCGGTTTAGGGTTTAGGGTTTAGGGTTCAGGGTTCAGTGTTTAGGGTTTAGGGTTAAGGGTCCGCCGACCCTGGCGGCGTGTTGGATGGAGGGCCAGCCCCCCCCCCCCCCCCCCCCCCCCCCCCTCCTGGTTGCTGGGCTTGGCCTGTTCAACAATTGATGGGGCTGCCCTGCCCAAGCTGGCTTCAGCTCCTGTTTGGGTCCTGGTGCTACTCCCCCCCCCCCCAACGTTTCACAGAGGCTCAAGCAAATCAACTTTTGGATCCTTTGAGCTGACGAGCGCGTTTAAACCTTTCAACTATGCTCCAGCGGGGTCGGCGGCTTGAGCCGGAGGCTCTTAAATGCAGGGTTAAGGGTTAAGGGTTTAGGGTTTGGGGTTTGGGGTTTAGGGTTTAGGGTACCTGTTTTTTAATTATGGCTTCCATGATGTATCATGAGAATAAGGTACCGCCCTCCCCTTCCCCTTAAAGAAGACAGGAACTACAAGTAACTAAGGGCCCAGGTACACCGCCATGTTGAACATGGTGTTGTTCAATTCCGTAGCCATGGTGCTCCCCAGGCTGCTCATGAGCACCTGACGCTCCGTCACTTCTTCGCTCGACCAAAACCTTGGTCGGGTTTAGGGTTTAGGGTTTGGGGAGCCCCGTGGCCATATCATCAGGGTACGCTTTTTGGGGTTGGCGAGTTTAGAAGGCAAAAAAGGGAAAAGGGTACCCACTGGGGCTAGCAAGATGCCCATCCTTGTTGGCATCCACGATTTCAGGGAAGATGGACAGCGTGAGGATCGGTGGAAGGCAGTCGTAATCAGAATCCGAGGGGTCCAGCAAGCCCGACAAACTCGACGGATAGACAACCCCAACAAGCTCGGGGTGGTGTGACACTCTCCAGCAGGTACTGCCCATCAAGCTATCCCGGATGAAGCCATAAGTGTGATCTCCCACCTGATAGATCTTGAAGGCTATGGCAAGCTGAGTGAAGAAGTTGAGAAGCATGAAAACGCAGACGAGCCGGTAGTCGGTAAACCGAGGTTGGGGAGATCCTTCCTTTCGGATCCGGTCGAGCCTATACTGATATTGGAACCCTAACGAAGATGACAATTTCTGCTTTTTTCTTAGGAATTGTAGCAGAGTACCCAAAAAATGAAAAACATATTTCCCACGTATCCCTAAGGAGCTTGTAGTACAAGGGCCCGAACAAGGCGTCCAAGTAGATGTTGGCTTCTAGTGGATCGAGACTGCGCCGGTAGTCGAGGCCTACCCCATCGAGCTTGTTGCTCGACCTCTCCTCTTGAAGGGCTGAGGACCCTAGCCCAAAGAAGGCTAACCTCTTGTATATAAAAGGGTTCGATACAACCCTAGCCCAAAAAAAGCTGAGCGTTTTTATGTGTAGTAGGATTCTAGGTAGCCAAAAAGGGTAAAAGGTTGCCCCGCCCAGTCCCTAAGTCCTTTTGAAGGGGAGGACGTTCCTCTGGAACCTCGGCCTCTGCATCCAGTAGTCTGGCGGAGCCTTCTCGGCCGTCTCTACTTTTCATCAACATCGATTTTCTAGCGCTTGAGCCAAAATGGGGGATGTCCGAAAATGTGGAGGAACCCTTTTTTGGGAAGGTCGCTTTTCTAGGGGTTCGATTCTGTTTGGGGTATAGAAGGGGCACCCCTATTTCGAAATTTCCGAGGACGGATGAACTTGCTTGGGGGGACTGATGACATGGCTATAGCGGTCCCTAGTGAGGAGTTCTCTTGAATCTGGGATCCTGCACTGGGGGACTGTCTTGGGGTGTTTAGGGTTTAGGGTTTAGGGATTAGGGTTTAGGGTTTAGGGTTTAGGCTCCCATTTTGGGTGCTCCATCTTTCCCTCGCCTGCATCGGCAAGGCAACCATCACGCTCCCTACGATAGCTTCTCACAAGAAGCAACCCGAATGTTGATTTAAATCCTATGATGTCAACGTTGTTTGCTTAGGTGCCCCTGAAACAGGGTTATCTTACAAACGAAGGGCAGGATCCAGGAACATTCACATTGGGGGGGTTTACAAAAATAGGGGACCCCCAAAACAGACCCCACATAGTAGGATTCCCGATGACTGAGGACCCCAACAAGGTACCCCCGAATGTCGGAAACCGCCCAATCTTGTCGGAATCTACCTAGAAACCCTAAACCCTAAACCCTAAACCCTAGTAGGAACAAAGTCAGATTGGTTCTATTCTTGATAAGAAGGCCTAGGCTGCCCAGTAACCTAGGCTTAAAAAGGGTGCCCTTTTTTGCTTAAGGGGGTTTATAAGGGAACCTAAACCCCCCTAGAGGCTGCCCTTTTGGAGGTGCGGCCCAGAACCCTTCTGGCCCAGCAGGCGAAGCAGAGTGCTCAGGTGCCCATGTATGGGTTTAGGGTTTAGGGTTTAGGGTTTAGGGTTTAGGGTTTAGGGTTTAGGGTTTAGGGTTTAGGGTTTAGGGTTTAGGGTTTAGGGCTTAGGGCTTCGAGTTTGGGAATTTTATAGCCCCCTTTTTGATACCCTGCTAGATACAAGAACCGCCGGAGGAACCCTTCTTATCGCAGGCCTGCGGCAGATCCGGGACGCATGGCAAAGGCGACCTGTCATGCTGTTTTCTTGGCTGCACTCAGGAGGGTAGCAATAAATCAAACTTCTAGCTGCCTTAGTAAGAAACCCAATAAACCCAAAAAAGGTAAGGATCCAAAGTTACAGGAAAGTACCACAAAGTTTTGGGGTCTGGGCAACTATACGGTTGGGGCTCACCAGCTTTCATAGTCATGGCTGACGTTCGTGAGGCTCAGCTTGTGAAATGTGGGGGAGACAGGCGAGGGGAGGACAGGGACCCTAAACCCTAAACCCTAAACCCGGAATCAAGGAGGTCCTTGCGCAGAAGTCCTGGCACTTTTTGCGCTCGGGGGGTCAGCGGCCAAGCATCAACGGTCTTAAATCCCGCCCTGGGTACTATAGGGTCGGAATGTTTACTAATAGTATTCCCATATGGTCCCTTTATAGTTCTACTAGAATAACTCCCCCCCCATAAAACTATCCTAAACCCTAAACCCTAAACCCTAACCCCTAAACCCTAAACCCTAAACCCTAAACCCTAAACCCTAAACCCTAAAGGCCCCTTTAGTACCCAGGATGGGCAACAAGAAGCAGCGCAGCTTCAGTCAGGGCACAGCTGGCAGCTCTCCGCTTCCGGTTTTGGGGTTTGGGGTTTGGGGTTTGGGGTTTGGGGTTTAGGGTTTAGGTTTTAGGGTTCAGGGTTTTGGGAGTGCTTCCAAGGGCTGTTGTTTTGGGGTCTTTGTGGCCAAGGACCAGGCAGCACCAAGCTGTTGAGCCTAGTTAAGTGTTGGGGGTCGGTCTAGGGTTCAGGGTTGAGGGTTTAGGGAAGGGACATGAACTAAGAACTCACACACTAGGTCAGGTTTGATGCCGCTCAGACAACGACGTACTGCTCGCACGCGCTGGCCTGTAGCCCTGCATCACCTTGGCAGCCCAGTAACCATGTGATAACAAGGGCGTCTTGCTTGCTGTTGGTTACTTTACAGCAACCCAAAACCCAAAACCCAAAACCCAAAACCCTAAACCCTAAACCCTCAACCCTAAACCCTAATCCCTAAAGGGAACCTAGAACCAAAAAAAAAGTCAAAAGGGTACGCTGGGCTACCAAGTCGCAGAGCAGCTTCATGGTGTTGGTGTAGTTGGAGAGGCGAGCATACCCATGAGGACCCACCTGCAGAAACTCAGCAACCTCTAGACTTCCCTGTCGGGGTGAGCCGTAAACCCTATTAACCCTATTAAACCCTATTAACCCTATTAAACCCTATTAACCCTATTAAACCCTATAAACACTCTAAACCCTAAAAACCCTATAAACCCTGTAACCCCTACAAAACCTACAAACCCTGTGAACCCTTCAAACCCGAAACCCTAAACCCCATAGAGCTGAATGCTCAGGATCTAGGAACCCCTCATGACCTGGGAGGTCTGCCCTTATGGTAAGTTAAGACTATGATTGAATTAAGAAGGGAGGGCACCGCAGACTCAATGAACTCTTAGCCAACCCTAAACCCTAAACCCTAAGCCCTAAACCCTAACTTAGCCTTGTAAACCCTACAATAAACATCCCCCCCAAAAAAAACAACTTTCCCTGAAGCCAGTGTAAAGGAACCCTGAGATTTGGGCTTCTGGTGTACGTGAAACGCCCAGATCCCCTGCACGACCTAAACCCTAGAACCCTGAACCCTAAACCCTAAACCCTGAACCCTAAACCCTAAACCCTAAACCCTGATTCCTGAACCCTGAACCCTAAACCCTAAACCCTAATCCCTAACTCAAAAAAATCCTTACAAACCCTAACCCTCGACCCCAGAATAGAGTCTAACCAACTTGTAAACCAACCCAAACCCAACCCAAGCCCTTCTCCAAGTCTTGCGCCTGTAGGCCATCGATGAAGACCTTCGTAGCCCAGGAACTGCATGAAACAGGCTTTAGGGTTTAAGGTTTAGGGTTTAGGGGTGAGTGTACTTAGGGCTCCTTATAAATTCTGGTGAGTGTATGCTGGGTGCCCTGATTGGGGTGCCCGAAATAACCCCAGACCTTATACTACCAATTGCTTAAGAACCCCCCAAAAAAACATTCTTCCTTATGCAGGGCAATATAGGTATTATTATGTTCTATTCTTTTGGGTTCTTGCGATCATAAGGCTACCCTATTTGGTTCCTTGCACAAAGGAATCCAAAGCTACAACAGGGTTCAGGGCGGCTACTTTACAAAGGAACCCCAAACCCACAAAGGGGCTCCTAACCCCTAAACCCTACTGTAAACCCCAAACCCCAAACCCCAAACCCTAAACCCCAAACCCCAAACCCCAAACCCTAAACCCTAAACCCTAAACCCTAAACCCCCACAAAAAGGGCTCCCAGTCGGCCACCAAGAGACGTGAGGGACGCCGAAAGGCCCTGGGCCCGGCTTGGAAAACTCAGGGAAGCGGGTGACAAAGTAGTTCTCAGCCTGCCAAGTTTAACAATTTTAGGTTTTTTAGGGTTTAGGTTTTTTAGGGTTTAGGATTTAGGGTTTAAAGTTTAGGGCTTAGGGAGCTTTAAAGGCGTCTAGTGTTTAGTCTACTAATAAGGCTTTGTGATAGTACTATAGTCATGTGATGTAATAGTGATATAAGGATAATGTGAGAATCCAGATATACTCAGAAAATGACGAAAAGACTAACTTCATAAAATAGGGGTTCAGGGCCTTAGGGCAGGGGCTTCGGATGTAGGGTTCGGGCTTAGGATTGGCTCAGCGGTTTTTTGGACCAAGAGCTTGAGCTTAGCGCAATTCTAAGGGCCCGTGCTATCACAGTGATCCTAAGAGGGGCAATATAGAACTGATCATGTTAAACCCTAAACCCTAAACCCTCAACCCTCAACCCTAAACCCTAAACCCTAAACCCTGAAGATGTAACCTTTACAGGATCTGCAAAAGACCCCCTCATGTACGAGCGGCTGCCTCGGACCTCTCCGTATCTGCATATTCTAGTTCCTGGCTGGGATAGTACTAAGAATTCCAATTTCTATTCCCTATTGAGTGTAAGTACCCTTAAAAATGTAAGCTGTTACACCACTATGACAAAGTGTTGAATCGTACAATTCTTTCCGAAACCAGGGGTACCTTATTGGGGTCCCTACTTTTAGGGTTTGGGGTGGCTTTGGGGTTAAGGGTTTAGGGCTTCTGTTCAAGAACGGTCGAGCGTGCCTCGGCAAGTAGCTGGTCGCCCATCTCCGTGTTGCAGCTCTCCTAGGCCACTGACAAGTTTGGGACTCTTAGGTGATACTTGGAGGTTCATGGGAATTTAGAACCAGTACGTATGACCTACTTAGAGGACTTCGGGGGCTTGCAAGTGCAGTTATCATTGGGGTGATAGGTACCCTGAACCTCCCAGTAGAGCTCTTGGTGCGGGAGGGGGGGTGGGGGGAAGGGGAGGTGGGACCGAGAAGTTGCAGGTTTCACGGTCACACACACACACGGGTTTAGGATGAATATAGTCGAGTCGTTGCCAGTACGACTCGTGCAACATGTATCTGTATGTCTAAATACTCATGGCCTCGCCCTATATCCGTTCGTAGGTAGCTTTCGAAGTGGTACGTCGGACATGGCAAGCTCTCGAAGTAATCGGCACTTGGGGGTGTACCCGAAGTAGACGGGCCTGTATTAAAGTAGGTACCCTAACTTAGGGACCCCCCCCCCCCCCCCCAAAAAAAAAAAAAAACAAACAAAAAAACAAAACAAAACTAAACCCTAAACTGGGATCTTGGGACCCATAGGGTTGCGGACTCTTGGGGGCTTTGACTTGCAGCATTTGGGAACCCTCCCAAGCTTGTTGCTCTAGGCTGGACCAAAAATCTACAAAGAAAGGTGCTCTTAGGTAGGGTGGTAGCAAGTAAACCCAAGAAAAGCTTCTAGACAAGAATATGCCGTTGATACCCACAGGCTCGAAGACAAGCAGCTCGTTTTCGGTTAAGCATACACCCACAACAAGAGCACAGGGCTTAGGCTCATGCTAGGCCCCTGTCAGGACCCTGATCGCCGAGACCAAAAGTCGGAATAAACATGGATTAGGCATATGAATTGGGATGTTCCCCCTTCTACTAACAGTCCTTAATAGGGGGATTCTGGTACCCCCTATTATAATCCTATGAAGGACTTTTAGTTTAAGGGGAACATCCCAGTATATGAAGTGTCAGGGGCAAGATGAAGGCGTACTTGGAGGTTCATGGGCAGTTATAAGGAGGGTCATATGTACCCTAATGAGGCTATAACTCCAGCTGCCTTAATTACAACCCTACTTATAACTACCCGTGAACCTCCACGTAAGGTTTAGGGTTTAGTTGTGTTTGAAAGTTCAGGGTTGACGGCTTGACAATGACCCGAAACCGTGGCTCCTGTCTCTGGCACCTACTGCTTATGGTTGCGGATTAGTGTTTTCGAGCTGAGGGTTGAGGGTTGAAGGCGAGTAGAATGGCATAAGAAGACTCGTCCCCCAAACCCTAAACCCTAAAACCCATAAAAGCAGCCGCGCATCCACCTTGGGAATCTCAATGTCGGCCGCAGCACTGCACTGGTGTGTGCGTGCAACCTTCTTGGGGGGGAGGGCCCAGGGGGGGGACCTGGTAGTTGATGTCCATCGGAGTTTTGCGTAACTTTGCTTTAATACAGGACAACAGTGCAGGATATCCTGCACAAGAACCTGAAAGGGACAGTGGCTTAGAGCAAGCCTATAGGGTCAAGGGCTAGAGATCACGTTCAGTGTTCATGTTCAGTTCAGGTAATGCTGTAATTTAGGGATATTCGCGACTACTCCTGATAGAGCCAGGTTCCCCCCCCCCCAGCAGAAGACTGACTGAACCTTCTCAGGGTGCAGCATTCAGTGTGTAGTGTTTGAAAAGTAGAGGGTTTATGAAGCTTCTGAAGTTTCGGCAGTTTGGGAAGCTTTATGTTTGATCCTTCATCTCCTTTCCATCCGAGCCGCAAGTGCATCCTTGTCTTTGGGTTCCACGATTGGGTTCTCATTGAAGCAGTTCATGAACCTGACCCAGACAAGGCAAGCAAGCAATGCTACGCATGACAGCTTGTCACCACTTGCTGCGAACTCGGCGTAGGTATCAGCAAACCCTAAACCCTAAACCCTAAACCCTAAAACCCTAAACCCTAAACCCGGCTTGCCTCATGATATCAATGCCTGTGCCGTTGGCCACTCGCTGCGCGCACAGGAAGTAGCGCGTCATGGGGCAGCCTGGCTCTTCCAGCACACACTCGTAGCTGCCATCATGTCCTTCAGAAGCACTTAAAGGGTTTGGGTTTAGGGTTTAGGGTTTAGGGTTTAGGGTTTAGGGTTTAGGGTTTAGGGTTTAGGGTTTAGGGTTTAGGGATTAGGTGGTTATTATAGTATATTTACATAGGGGGCTAGCAGGGAATACTTAAAGGATCAGGGGACTTCGTAAGTAGGGTTAGAAGTAGGGCAACTATAGTTACAATTCCTTATATCCCCAAGTAGGGTACGTAGTACGTAGGATTTGGGGGACCCTTGGGGAAATAGACCCTCTGAATAAGTTCCATGTGTAAGAGAGCCAGAAGAGGGTTAAGAAGGGATTCTCTTTTAAGGGCCCCCCTCAACCTACCAGGAGGTTTAGGGTTTAGGGTTTAGGGTTTAGGGTTTAGGGCTACGTCCCATGATCATGGACAGCAGGTGGAAGCAGCAGGAGAGGAGGAGCCCGAGGAGCACGGGAGCAAAGGCAGGCGGCGGAGGCGGAGGGGGAGGAGACCCCAAACCCTAAACCCTAAACCCGAAACCGTAAACCCTAAACCCGAAATCCTAAACCCTAAACCCTAAACCCTAAAACCCTAACCTCTAAACCCTAAACCCTAAACCCTAAACCCTAAACCCTCAACGAGGGGGAGGGACGGGGGAGGAGGGAGAAAGAGCCAGATCCAGTGATCTGTTCCCAGGTCCTTTGCGAATGCCCATGTGAATTTGGAAGTGCACGCCTGCTTGAACACCGGGAGTGTTGTAGATCTCCTGTCTGCACGCAGTTGCTCAGCAGGGATAGACCAAAACGACGCCTGCAGGTATCAAGCCTGCCAACCTCTCAACCAGAGACAACAAGTCCCGAATGCCAAGCTTCCTTCACGGTGCTGTTGCCATACTGTCTGCAGATCGGGCAGTTTGCCGCCAAAGTGTAGTCGAAGACCGGCTTGTGCGCAGAAGCCAGCGAGATAAGCGCCAGAAGTCTGAGAGCCATACTCTCCCTGGCCCTACGTCCCATAAGCCCACGTTTGCTAATGGCTGCAGTTAGGGATATACATGCACATATGAAACTATGCAAATTCTGCATACACGTATGCAATATGTATATACACATGCACATTGTAAACACACACACACACAATCTACATGTGTGTATATATATATACATAAACAAATAAGTAAATAGATAAATATCAACAAAAATGTAAATATTAATATAAATATAAATTTCAATATATATGTATATCTGTATATATTCACATGCACATCGCCCTATACGTAAAGCGTGCAAGCAAGCGAGCAAGCAAGCATGCATGTGTGTATGTATGCATGCATTGTCCGTCCATACATACACATGCACGCACGCACACGTCACAAATACACATCCCGTTCTGCTAAAAAAAATGGTTTAGGGCTGTGGGCGGCTTCCCCGCATCAGGTCGGGCACTCGCTTTCTGCCTCTCAAACTTCATCTCTTTTCTGGTCAGGCAAAGTTAGACCCGGGAGTAACCTAGGAATGAAAAGGGTATCCTTTTTGGTTTTAAGGGGATTCTGAGGGAACCCCAACCCTAAAGAAAGGAAGAAAGGGTCTACTCCCGTGCACATCTTAGGCCAACCAAAAGCCTACGTCCGACGCGCCATCCGAACTCTCACTGGAGCTGCTGCTGCCTCACCTGAGCGAGCTGTTGCGTTTAAGTTGCCTTTTTTGGTTTAGGGTTTAGGGTCTATAGGGTTTAGGGTTTAGGGTCTATAGGGTTTAGGGTTTAGGGTTTAGGGTTTAAGGGGGGGGGGGGGGCTTCTATCTCCAGAGGTGGGGGGAGCGACATGAGACTCGGGAGTCCAAACCGAACGGGTAAGAGGAGACAGAAAAGGAGAGGCACCGGAACGGCATGGAACCACCTCAACCCTAAACCCTAAACCCTAAACCCTAAACCCTAAACCCTAAACCCTAAACCCTAAACCCTAAACCCTAAACCTCAAACCCCAAGCTCTCCACAGCCGTGCACCTGAACTCTGCAGAGCTCACGGGCGAAAGGGCTCCATCATCTTCTCCACAAAGGTTTAGGGTTTAGGGTTTAGGGTTTAGGGTTTAGGGTTGAGGGTTACCCTAAACAATCCTACAAGCACCTAAAGGCCACGGCGAAACCCTAAAGTGTTAAAGCCTGAACCCCATACGCCAAAGCCCAAGCCCCTGCAAACCAAAAATCTCACCAACCCTAAACCCTAAACCCTAAACCCTAAACCCTAAACCCTAAACCCTAAACCCTAAACCCTAAACTTTTAACCCTGAACCCTAAACCCCCCATCCCGTTCCGAGGCCTGCGCAATCATTCCACCTCTTCGGCCCTCGCAGCTTCGGCTCGGGAGAGCTGGAACCCAGGGTTTAGGGTTTAGGGTTTAGGGTTTAGGGTTTAGGGTTTAGGGTTTAGGGTTTAGGCTTTAGTATATGCACTTAGGGCATTCTTTCGGTTTTGTATAGATCCAAGTTGCCAAAAAGATCAGCCGAGAGTCGAGGGGAGGGACAAAACGGAGCCTTGAACCACTGGGTTTAGGGTTTAGGGTTTAGGAAAAATGGAAAAAAGCGTACCGCTGGGCTACCAAGCGTTTTGTGTCTTTTGCTACCCGCGGTCTCGCGGAATAGGTGTTAGGAATCACCCTCATTGTCGAATCTGGGAAAAAACCCACACACGCACAGCAATGAACGCCCGGGCCTGACCAGAAGAACGGCACGCACAGCCTCCGAGGGTGTTCAAGCTGCCAAGCAGATGAGTTCATACGGGGTCTGGCATGCTTTGTGAGAATCCGAGTATGGTGAATAGGTGAGAATGAGCACAAAGTTCTAGACTTGAGGGTATTTTGTTTTGTTTTGCGGAATGCCGGGTGCAGGTTTCGATGCACATGCCAAACAAGGCATTTTCGCAGTACTGAAAGCCTGTGTATGTAAAGCCCTTCACACAGGTCACATGTCTCGGAAGTATCCGAAGCCCAACCAGCATATCTTAGGTCTCTGGCTCTCAAGCCTGATCCCTGAAACGCACTTCTGACTTACTGGCCTGTCAAACCCTCACCCACCGGTCCAACCTAAAGCTTCGCATAGTATAGCATGGTCTTTGGCATGAAGGAACCCCGCAATCCTCAAGAAGAGAGTCCTGGGAGCCTTCTGGGTATGCCCTCATTCCTCCACCCCGTGCGCAGGCGTCAAGAAGTACAACCGCCTATAAGGGTCCATGTACCCATATAGCAGGTTCGTGTGCTCCACCACACAGGTACATAGTTCCTCTTGGTAGCCCAGGAACCATATGATAATCAGGGCACCCTCTTTTGGGGTTGGTTACTGTATAAGAGAACCTTGAACCAAAAAAAGGGGGCAAACGGGTACCGCGGGGCTACCAAGGGTTGGGATTAACGAATAAATTGCTTAAGAGGCCGCCCAAAAAACATTCCTTCTCCTTACAAGGGCAATATGAGGATAAAACTCAAGAACAGGGTTTAGGGTTTGGGATTGGGGTTTAGGGTTTTAGGGGGTTTCTACCCCAAATTGAATAGGATTCCCGTAAATGGACCCCCAAAAAGGGCACCCCTTTTTTCGGAAATCCCCATACAGGAACCCTAAACCCTAAACCCTAAACCCTAAACCCTAAACCCTAAACCCTAAACCCTAAACCCTAAACCCTAAACCCTAAACCCTAAACCCTAAACCCTAAACCCTAAACCCTAAACCCTAAACCCTTATAGGGACCCCAGGTCCACCGTCAGCTCGCGCTCAGGTACGGCACCGGCAGCTCTCTCGGCCTGAGTTGGGGGGGCAACCAATGCTTGCGCTAAAAAGTCAACTCATCAACCTAAAGGGTTTAGGGTTTAGGGCTAGGGTTTAGGGTTTAGGGTTTCGGGTTTAGGGTTTAGGGTTTAGGGTTTAGGGTTTAGGGTGAGGGTTTCGGGTTTAGGGGTTTAGGCTTTAGGGGTTTAGGGGGTCAGATCGGCCCTGAGGCCGGGGAGAAATGATCCAGAAAAGCTTCCGCCAACCAAGAACTGCGCCAAGAACCGAACATACCCTCTGCATGTCTTCATGCACAATCGCCAGCCACTCCGAAAAACAAGAACAAAAGACTCTCGTTGCATCAGACCCCATGCCCAGAAGCCATAGAAGCCTTCAGGAGTTGTTTCCGCTCCCAACTGTCAAATATGGGGGCCTTCATGCCTAGAATCGGGAATAGGGTTTTGGGGATATTGTACTACAAGTATACTAGACCCAGGAGTAACCTAGGAATACAAAGGGTGCCCTTTTTGGTTTTAAGGGGATTCTAAGGGAACCCCGACCCTAAACAAGGGAAACAAGGGCCTACGTACTCCGGACTCTGGGTCCATATATATATATATATATAGGGATCATAAGGGAACACTAGTAGCAAGTATATTCCGACACCGAAATTTTTTTGGCGCGCCCTTAACCGCCATAGCGCTAAATCCATAACCCTAACCCTAAACCCTAAATCCATAACCCTGAACCCTAAACCCACAACACCCTAAATCCCTAACCCTGAACCCTAAATCTAAACCCTAACCCTAAACCCTAAAACCCCAAAACCCCTAAAACCCCTAAAGCCCATAATCATCGCAGCCTGCTCCCGCAAGTCGTCGAAGCCCGGATGACACCAGCGCAGGCCGGTCCGGTGTGACCTTCGGGGTTTTAGGGTTTAGGGTTTAGGGTTTGGGGTTTAGGGTTTAGGGTTTATAGGGCTTAGGGTTTAGGGTTTAGGGCTTAGGGTTTACGAGATTCGGGGTCCCATGTTGGGGTCCTTTTTGTAAGGAAATGCTACTACTTGGGGGGTTTCTATTTGGGGTCCCTTATTCGCGTAAAATCCCATATGAATGTTCCGGGGTTCAGGGGTGACATAGATTGAGCATCTGAGCGAGAGAGAGAGAGAGAGAGAGAGAGAGAGAGAGACTGTGGTCAGGTCACTGACAGTTAGTATCACAACATTCAAAACTGTCCATCTCGCGTTGCTCATGTCTGCCATAATGGTACCTGCAGCAGATGTGACACCAGACCTGTTTTTAATTCGACCTATGCTTGGCGAGAAGGAAAATCAAATCTAGTTCTTCAACATCCACGGTCCTTCATATTAATAACCATTCGCCCATGCAAAGCATTTGCACAAGCACAACTTGCGTGATGGTCAAGATATGTATCTGTGGCAAGGGCACAAACACCAAAACAATCCATGGAATTCAAAAAACAACCCTAAACCCTAAACCCTAAACCCTAAACCCAGTAGGGACCGCAGGAACGCCCACACGCACGCACAGCCTGTCTTCTTGACTTCTGAGCATTGCCAAAACACCGATGCAACGGGGGCAGGCTCCGACCTAAGCAACAATCCCTAAACCCCAAACCCTAAACCCGAAACCCCAAAACCCCAAACCCTAAACCCTCGACCCACCAGCCCTCTACCCACCAAACCCCCGACCGGCGTCAAACCACAGAAGCAGCACCCCTTTGAACCCCCAACCCTAACCCTTACACCCACCCAACGACCCTTGACCCCTGAACCCTGAACCCCAAACCCTAAACCCTAAACCCTAAACCCTAAACCCTAAACCCTAAACCCTAAACCCTAAACCTTAAACCTAAACCCTAAACCCTAAACCCCCAAACCCCCAATCCTGTGCATGACCTCCGCCGTCCCAGCGCCGTAGTGACCGACCGCGAACTTGGCTCCACGGCGAGCAGCGCCAAGTGCAGGAGCCGGAGACACGGCCAGGATCCTGGGGGGGTGTAGGTTTGGGGTTTAGGGTTTAGGGTTTAGGGTTTAGGGTTTAGGGTTTAGGGTTCCAGGATCCTTGCTTGCACTTTAGGGCTCATATAAGGGGCCAGGATTCTTAGAGGGGCTTCAGGGTGTAGGGTTTAGGGTTTTAGGGTTTTGGTTCTGGAATTTAAGGGTTTTTAGGGTGTTCGGGATTTAGGGTTTCTAGGGGTTTAGGGTTTTGGTAGGTTCTAGGGTTTTAGGGTTTAGGGGC